ACTAAATAAATTTGTATACCTGTCAATATAATGCATTGGAATCTTTAAAAAAATCTCATGTTTTCTGAAGACTCTTGAAGCCTCCAGGCCATAGTCCTATTCACAGGCAATAGCTTTTAAAACTTATCATAGTCCCTGTCCTCCAGGAGGATTCAACTGTATATTTTTTAAACAATATTCTTTTAAGTATTTTTTTGATTTTGCAAATTTAGAAGTTATTTACTGGGGCTGGAGAGATGGCTCAGAGGTTAAGAGCCCTGGCTGCTCTCCCAGAGGTTCCGAGTTCAATTCCCACCAACCACATGGCTGCTCACAACCATCTAAAATGAGATCTGATGCCCTCTTCTGGCATTCAGGCAAACATGCAGGCAGAACACTATACATAATAAATAAATACATCTTTTTTTTTTTTAAAAGAAGTTATTTACTGATTTCTCATAAGGAAAATCTGTTTTTTTTTCTTTCTAACAGCACATTCATTTGGTGTCTTCCAGGCCCTGATACTATAGCTTCACAGTCTCCATGGGATTGTCAATCAGCATTCATGTTCTTAGGCCATGTCAAGGCCACGCCAGTGCTGTGGTTGCGTTTCTTTTCTTGTGTCCTTTGCCGTCCCTTGGGAGTTAATAAACATCTCCATCTTTATTTCTCTACTTTCTTAGTTGCTCACATTCTCCAGACTCTCGGATGAGAAATATACACCAAGTAGACAGGTAGTATGTAGTAAGTCCGATTTTCTTGTCTTCCAGCCTGGACAGAGCTTTACAGTTTGGCAATGTGGGGACCTCCCTTTGCAGATACCTGGGGATCCCTGTTTTTCTCTTTCTTGGTGTACCTCCCAAGGATGCCAAAGGATTTTTATGTAAAAAGGACTCTGAGTGGGGGGTAGTATTTTACATTTGTTTACATTCTAACATTGCTGTGTGGCATGAATCTTCCATCCTCAGCTGGTGTAGCAGTTCCCATATGCGAGCTCGTCCTAACTCCCCTTCACTGTATTTGGCTGAGCAAGGAACTCCAGGTTGGACATGATTTTCTCCCCCTTTGGAGGACACTGCTGTGCGGCTTTCTAGCCTCACTGTCAATACTGAGCAGTGTTAGATCCAGTGTTGATCCTAGCTGTTGTATCACGGGCTGTCTCTCTAGGACTTCTCAGTTCCGTTCATTCCTGGGGTCTCGCATTCCTGGTGTTATATTTGGTGGGGATTTGGTTTCTACTTTGTAGGGTGCGTTGAGAACCCTCCTGGCTGCTCAGATGGAATCTCAAGTACTTTGCCTTAGGAAGCTTTGGAGGAAGTATTTCCTCTTCCACTTTCTCTGTTCGCTCTCTCTCCAGTTCTTATTAAAAGGTGTCAGAGATTCTAGGCTGATCTTTTTATATTTATCTCCCACCCCCATTTCCCCTCTTTCTGGGAGAATTATCTTATCTTCTGATGTTTCATCATAATTGTGTGTGCAACTGTGGGAGTGTGTATATAATGTGTGTAGGTGTATATACATGTGGGTGTGTCTACATATATGTGGTTTGGCATAGATACACACACATATACACATATATGTACATATATGTGGGTGGATATATAGACATGTGGGTGGGTGTACATGCATGCACATTTGGAATTAGGACAGCGACTCCGAGTTGCTTCCTCTATCACTTGCTCTGCACTCTGGTATTTGAGGCAGCTTCTCTCACTGAACTTGGAGCTCTCCCACTCAGCTGGGCTGGCCAGCCAGAGGCTCTGGGGACTGAGATCTGGGCACATGCCACAGTGCCCAGCTCTTCATGTCAGGCTGGGAATTGACCTCAGGCTCTTGAGCTCGCTTTGCTTCAAGAAGTCTTTTTCTTGTTCTGTGTGGTTATAAAATGTGTCCTTTTGGTCCTCATCTGTGGATACTCTGTTGTCCCTAATGTCAGAGGACACTGATGCTACTGGGGTGATTTCCCTGGGGGTCTGCCGTATCCGGAGCTTTCACCCTACCCTGGCGATGGTCACCGCCAAAGTCCCTTGCATCTTTCCCTTTCACTGATTTTTTTTTCCCCTGCTGTGGGGTGGGGTAAGTAGGTAAAGGCACACAGGCCAGAGCCAAGAAAGGGGCTGGTGACCTCATCTTTCATGTCGATCTTTTCAAATCCCACTGTTTCTAGCTCTGGCTGGTGTTTCAGAGTCTGTTCCTCCTGTGTGTGTCTCCCAGGGGTGGGGTAGCATCTCCCCACGTCTCTCCTGAAGCTTTGTGACACTTTTGCTTCATGGGCATCTGGGCTTCCTAGGCTCAGGCCATCTTTGGAAAGGGTGTTGACATTTCTCAACTGCTATTATCTCTGTCTCCACTTTTTCTCTCTTTCCCTTGTGGTACAGCAGGAGAACTCTTCTATAACCAGAGAATTTTGTAAGGAGGTAGAAATATTTGTTCACGTTGTCATGTTTAATCCTGAGTGGTCTTTTCTGAATGTCCCTTCAGGCCCAGAGGGAGGCAAACGTGTGTGAGGGGCCCATAAATCAAAAGCACGGGAAGGAGACTTTGATACAACAGCATCGATAGAGGAAAAGCGTCTGCGTCTCTGGTCCAGGCCAACCTGGGATTTGTTATGTAGCCAAGGATGACTTTGAACTTCTGACCCTCCTGCCTCTACTTCTCAAGTGGTGGAATTACAGATATACATATGCTCCCTTTATGCTGTGATGGGGATCAAACATAGGGCTTTATACATACCAGGCAAGTACCCTAACAATTGAGCATGCCCCCCGCCCAGGCTTCATCCATATTTTTTGTTGTTGTTGAAACATTTTTGAGCCTTAACATCTTTCTGAAACTGCTTGGTAATGGGAATATAAAGATTGTGATGTATGGTGTCCACTCCAAAGTACATTATAGTCCAGTTTCATGGAAGTGTGTGAGTAGATCCAAGCTCACAGGAGTGAGATGACAGCCTGCACCAGGAGTCTTCACAGAGGGCACTGTGGCTCATACCAGCCCAGGGTGGCATGACATACTCCTGGGAGGAGGTGTCACCAAAGCTAAAGTGTGAAGGTTGTGATTTCTGGATGTGAAACTGGGGGAAAGGCATTCCAAGCAGAGAGACCTGTGGGTGCAGAGCAGGAGTCTAGAGACTGAGGAGAAGACTGAGGCAGCCAGAGCAATGGAGAAGTGGGGAAACCACTTGGTTATCACTGTCCATGCTAGGGCAGCTGTGAAGGAGGCCATCCCAACAGAAACAACAGCATCTTGTTCCCTCTGAAAAGCCGAGCCAACTCAAAATATTATAAAAAAGGACAATTTGAAGATTGCAGAGAGACAAGACATATTAATGCTGGCTCAATGATAAGAATGGGACTGTTCTAGTTCCCAAGTGACAGCCGCTTCCTGTCCACTTCTGTCCTCTAGTGTCCAAACAGTTATGAAACAGGCCTTAGAAAAGCTCACAGTGAAATCTTGCTCTGCTCTTCCTGCCAGCCAAGATTATTTACATATTATAACTGGGTCTCTTACCCCGCACCGGCGGATGCAGTGTTCACCAGCTCTGGAGATGTGTGAATTTGGGGCAGTGTTTTGACAGATCTCTGTAAGAACCACTGAGGCCCAGTCTCCCTTCTGCTGCAGGCACAGATGTGGCCTTCAGGAAGGCCCTGCCCTGTCCTGGCTCCTGTTGCCTCACTTGGCAAATAGGAGGAGCTGAATTAGATTACCTTCAAGGTTTGTTCCCGAACAGAAATTGGATGCAGGCAGCCTTAGCTTTACAAAGGTGAGTATTAAGAAAGAGGTAAGGTTTTATTTGATTTTGTTTTTAAATCACGCTTTAAACTCTTGATGAGCAAGCAGAAGGGAGACTGCTCCATCTCTCCTTACCTCTCCCATGGTCTGTACAGCTTTGGATTCACAAACACAAGAGAGAAATATGTCACTGAAGGCATACACATGTCACAGACACCCACCACGCATATATGTCACACTACACACACACCAACACACAACATGTAGACCCCACACACTAACATATCACACATACATCATATACTAAATACAATAGCATAATACAACACACACACACGAGTTATAAAATGTATCAGATTCTGTTACACTACTGAAAAAGTTGAGAGAACAGCCTTTTTAAGAAGCCAACTGCTGTGAAAACAACGATGCCCTGTCTAGATGTTTTCCAAAGCTCTTGGTATTTTGAACCCCTCCCCTGCCCCTACCACCAAATGACTAGAGCAGTAACCTAAGCCTTCTGGACTGGCTGGCAAGTGACGACCAGGGAGTCTGGGTAACTGTGAGGTGAGAAAGGCATTTCTTTTTCCTGCTAGGGGTTCTCTGACTCCCTGAAGTGAAAGGAGTACCTTGGGATGCTCTGCGAACAGGCTCTGTGAAGCCTTGGGTGAGCAGAGGCTGGACTGGTGCTTCAGGAGAAGCTTTGGGAAGCTCCGGCCTCCCATGGCTATGGAACTTCACTTCTCACAGCTCGGATCTCAGACCACTGGCCCAGAGGCCCAGTGGGTTGGCTGCAGAGGGACAGCCGCAGACCTTTCAACAAGCCTCGGGAGGAGATGTGGCATTGAGCTTGTGTCTGTCATCAGCTCAGAAGTCCTTATGTCCCACTAGCCTTGTGTGACTCCAGAAGAACACGCGAGGCTTTGATTCACGCGAGGCTTTGATTCCCCACTGCCGTAGCAACTTTTTATTCCAACTAACGGTCTGTTCCCTAGTGATCATGCTGCTCATGGTGCCAGCACCAGATGTCTTGTTCCATCTGCATTTTATCTCGTCCCTCCCACGCCCGAAAACTCGCCCAGTATTTTTTACAGCGTTTTTGACCAGCAATTGAAATTGACATTGAAGTTGGTTTCTTTTCAGACCTGATATCCTGTTTCAATAGACCCACTGTTTTTTGGAGGGTGTGTGTGTGTGTGTGTGTGTGTGTGTGTGTGTGTGTGTCCCTACTATGTATGAAGACCTGAATGGTGATAGTACCACACACAACACACAATTTCATGAAGTCTTACCTTGAGGCTTCCGATCAATGCGGCTCCTTTTTATTGGCTGCCTGTTTCCTGTTGTCTTCCCTCCTCCTCTCTATCCTTCTGTCTCATCTCTCTTCCTCTGTGGTTTCCCACTCTTTGAGGAGGGGCAGGATTTCCGGCTCGCAAGTTGGTTGGTTTCTGGGAGGAGTCAAAAGACCTGGTTCTAGACTGGAACCAGCTGGTCTGCCACAGGGTACAACGCATTTGAGACCCGTGTGTGAGACCCGGGCCGGGAAGAGGACGGCCCAGCCCAGGCCGGGCGACACCTGCAGGAGGGAGCCAATCAGGCAGAAGCATCAGGCTCCCCGAAGGACGGGGACCCCAGGCAGCCTGGCATGGAGATGTTGGAAGTGGTCCTGGTTTCCCTGGAAACTTTCCCGTTACTATTGTTAGCTCCAAACTCGGTGAAAACAGCCCCGGCAGAGCCACGTTCCACCCAAGCAGGTGCACACTTGAGTCTCGGCTTTGCCTCAGAGGAAGTTACTGAACAAGAACTGCGTTTGGGCAGATTTCTCTTCCGCTAGGAGAGACTAGCGAACCAAGGCCTTCCATAAGTGTGTGCTACCCACACTTGAGGTGAGTTTCAGACCGTCAGTATAACCACAGCCGCTAGGGGGTAGAGGAGATAAAGACCCAGAGGAACAGGGGCTCCATTAGCAGAGACAAATGACCCCAGACTCACTCTCTCACTCTCTCTCTCTCTCTCTCTCTCTCTCTCCCCTCTCTCTCTCTCTCTCTCTCTCTCTCTCTCTCTCTCTCTCTCTCTCTCTCTCTCTCTCTCTCTCTCTCACACACACACACACACACACACACACACACACATATGCAGACACATGCACAAACTGACACACAAACACACATGCAGACGCATACATTTAGACATACTTGGACACACTCACATACATACACAGGTGCAGACACATGCAGACACACATACATGAAGACACACATACATAGACACACACAGACACTCACATACATGTAGACACACAGACACACATGCAGACACATACACATACATGCAGACGCATGCAGAAACACACACAAGTGTCCACTTTCTTACTATTTATTTATTCATATATTCAGCAGATATTTGAAGCACACCTACTTGGTCCCAGCACTAAGCCATGTGAAGATCAACTCTTTTCTTCAGGGTGACTTAGCACAGTTGCAGGCTGAGCACAGGAGTTAAACAGCATGGCGGCACACACTGGACGCTGAGGTGTGGGGTCCTGACCTCACTGAGGGGATGATGTGTCCTGTGGGGAAGGGCCCTTTGGGACAGCCCACCTTCTCTTTCTCAGCCAACACGAATGGGCATTGGCTTTTTTCACTGACACTTCCTACAAGAGGACGGGACCTTTGTCCTGTTTTCATTTCTGGGGCCACTTATTTTCTCCAGAGTTTTACCTTATTCTATGCAGCACTCTGAAAACTTCTGACCAAATATTGGACACTTTCCATCAGGTCCACATCTCAATATTTTTTTAATTAAATTCCCTAATTCATATTCGAGTGAATTAAAAGAAAATGGGTTGGGATGAGATCTCCTTTACTTCAGCTGTTGGGTCCACTCCAGTGTGATTTTGGAAAGTTTCTTAAGGACTATTTTTGTTTTTATTTGTTTTTTTGGTTCCTATTCTTTTTTTCTGGTGGGTCTCCTATTGTCTCAAGGTAAGGTGGCAAGTGGGCATGTTTCAGAGAGACACTCGGGGTGGGGCATCCTCATCGTGAAATTGCCCACTTCAAGTCCCGAGTGAACATCAGTACAATGCCAACCAGGTTTTTGACATTTGATTTGAAGGGCCAAACCATGTTCAAACCACTGCTGTCCTTCCTTCTGCGCTGGGGATGGAGTCCAGGGAGTTGTGCATGGTGTCACAGCAGGAGGGCTTCTAGTCTCTGCTACGATTTGGGGGCCATCGTGGCACATGCGGCTTTGCTGGCTGGAATGCTATTCTGCTGCACACGATCAGGGCAGCACATTTCTGTCTGTCCCCCTGAGGTTTAAGAAAAACCTGCAGTTGTAACCCTACCAAGGTTTAAATCCCGTTTCCTTAGGGCCGCTTTCTGGTTTAATAACCGCTCATTTCTAGGGCAGTCTCTGAAGAAAGGGGTGACTTGTGTGGAAGGTCGCATAAAGCCGCACAAAGACAAATGTGGAAGCAGGGTGGGTGCTGTGGTGAAGACCTCCTCAAGTCAGAAGTGCGCTGACCGCTCCGCCGGCCAGCCAGACCATTAGCCAGGCATAATGTTGCTCACCCACAGTACACAGGCTGGAAGCTTACAGCTTGAGAGCGAGGCCAGCCAGAGCTACCACAAGACCTTGTCTCTAGATAGGAGCTAATTATTGACTCAGATTTTAGTATCCAAATTATTCTGAAGTTCCACTTCTCTTTTTGTTCTCTTTTTTCTTCTTTCATCCACCCTTTCTTTCTTTGAGATGAAGTCCCATGTAGCTCAGGCTGGCCTCAAACTCAATAATAGATACTGGCCTTGAACTCTTGACCCACCTGCCCTCATCTCCAAATCACCATGATTAAGTGTATACACCACCATGCCCCCTTCCAGATTTTCTTAAATGTATAGTAATTTATTGATTCTTTTTAAACAGATCAAAAGTTCTATAGCAGTGAATGTGGTATTGTATTCCCCCAAATATTGTGCATGCTAATAAACTTATCTGGGGTCAGAGACAGAACAGCCACAATATTAAACATAAAGGATAGGCAGTGGTAGCACACGCCTTTAATCCTAGCATTCCAGAGGCAGAAATCCATTTGTTCAAGGATACAGACAGGCATGGTGACTCATCATGCCTTTAATCCCAGAAAGCAAGCCTTTAATCCCAGGGAGTGGTGGTAGAAAGCAGAAAGGTATATAAGGCGTGAGGACCAGAAACTAGCAGCATTTGGCTGGTTAAGCGTTCAGGCTTCTAGCAACACAGTTCAGCTGAGACCCATTCTGGATGAGGACTCAGAGGCCTCCAGTCTGAGGAGAGAAGACCAGCTGAGGATCCGGCAAGGTGAGGTAGCTGTGGCTTGTTCTGGTTCTCTGATCTTCCAGTTCACCCCAATACCTGGCTCAGGTTTGATTTTATTAATAAGAACTTTTAAGATTCCTGCTACAGCAGTGGTTTTCAGCTTTCCTAATTCTGCAACCTTTTAATACAAATTCTCATGTTGTGGTGACGCCCAACCATAAAATTATTTCACTGCTACTTTGAAACTGTAATTTTGTTGCTGTTATGAATTGTAATGTAAGGGTTTAATATGCAGGATATCTGATATGTGGCTTCAAGGGGGTCACAACCTACAGGCTGAGAACCCCTGTGCTATAGGATGGCTGTTGGTATTCTGACTCAAAATTTTTACTTTGCCAATGTAGTAGAATATTATTTTAAGGTGTGTTACTTTTGTTTATGTTGCATTTGTTTAACTCTGTGAAGCTGTGTTACTGTGCCTGTGTAAAACACCTGATGGTCTAATAAAGAACTGAAAGGCCAATAGTGAGGCAGGAGAGAGAAATAGGCAGGGCTGGCAGGCAGGGAGAATAAATAGGAGGAGAAATCTGGGAGGAAAAGAGGAAGGAGAGAGAGAAGGAGGAGGACATCAGGGGTCAGCTACCGAGCTACACAACCAGAAATGGAGTAAGAAAGAAAGGTATACAGGAATAGAGAAAGGGAAAAACCCAGAGGCAAAAGGTAGATGGGATAAGTTAAGGAAAGCTAGCAAGAAACAAGCCAAGCTAAGGCTGGGCATTCATAATTAAGAATAAGCCTCTGTGTGTGATTTATCTGGGAGCTGGGTGGCGGCTCCCCAAAAGAGTAAGACAACAACAGCATACAAAGTGAGAGCAAGAATCTGGATGCATGCAGCATTGCATGGAGGGAAGATCTTCACCTAGAAGAAACTGAGCCTGGCTGCAGAGGCGGAGCATGTGCCTGTGAATGGTGTCTTGGCTTCCATTTCTGAGCAAAATGTAGAAAAGGACCCTGATTCAGTACCCTGAAATACAGATGAACACACTCTTGCACATGTGGGTGAGGCACCATCCACGCAGTGCCCCTCAAAGCAGATGAACATAATCTTCCACATGTGGAAGAGGTGTCATACATCCAGTGCCCCTGGAACACAGATGAACATGACCTTCCACACGTGGATGCTGCAGCTTCCCATAGCTCAGCATGACCAATAGCCTGCCCAGGAATTGGTCATCAGTCAGGGTATACTGTCCTTAAGGATCAGTTTGGATCAGATTGGTGATTTATTTGTCCTTATCTCTACCCATTCCTATCAAACACTCTTATATATCAGATTTAAAACAGCCAAGAATAGATTTAAAAAAAAAACATAAAACAAGACTTAATACAGACAAAAAGCAAAGTAAGCAGCAGGAAAATGAGCAGTTGGATGGTTAATCAAGTGGAGAACTTCTAGCTTGGTGTGAGGACACACACCTTCAATCCTCATCCTTGAAAAGCTGAGGCAGAGGAACCTTGAGTTCAAGGTCAACCTGGCCACATAACTAATTTGATGCCTGTATTAGTTACCTTTCTGTTGCTGTGAGAACACAGCATGACCAGGGCAGTTTGTAGAAGGAAGGGTGTGTTTAGGCTCAGGATTCCATGATGGCACCAGACAGCAGGCCTGGGGGCAGGAACAGAAGCTGAGAGCAAGCATCTTCAAACACAAGCAGGAAGCAGAGAGATCAAACTGGAAACAGGTGAGGCTTTCAATTCTCAAAGTCCACCTCCAGTGACAGACTTCCTCCAGCAAAGCTCCACCTCCAAAACCTCCCCAAACAGCACCTCTAACTGTGTCCAGACACCTGAGACTATCATTTAAACTACCACAAGGCCACACTGAGTTACCATCTCGAACAGGCAGTGAACCTCTGCGGGGAAAGGTCCAGTGGACTACGTATACCAAGACGCATGTTGAATTAGCTAATGATAACATGCTTACCACACAAAGTGCCAAATGCATTTATGCAGAGATCTCTGTCTGGTTACTCAGTGGGGTATCCCCTAAACAAAAGGCCTAAGGGCCTTCCATGAAGGTCTAGGTGTAGTTATCAGAAAGTGCACCCCTAAATGGACCAGTCAAGCTCAGATTACTCATTGAGATTTAATAGCCCAGGTGTAGATATGAAGACAAATGTAATTGGGCACAAGGAACCCAGAGAATATGCCAGGTGGTCCAAGGGGCCTCTGAAACACTCTCAAATGGGTAGACCCTCTAGAATTGTTGAAGAATGTGAAACCATCATTTAACGTATGAAATAAAGTTTAAAAGGTGAGTTACTGGCTGTTTACAGTGAGGGTGAGCTTTATTGAGCAGATTGTTGGATTTAACACTAGAGCACTTTGGGAAACAAGAAGATTGGGCACTGGTGTACCTTCCCAGGCACAAGTGGGTCTGCTGGGTGTTGGTCACTTGTTTTGTTGTGATACCAAGATACTTGACAAAAGTGAGGGAAGAAAGGGCTGGCTTTGGCTCGCAGTTGGAC